TTGGGCTAGGTCGCTTATGTGCCTAAGTGCGTACTCATGCACGCGTGCACGAATACGTGTGCGCGTGTACGTGCGTGCGTACGTCATGTGGCACGAAGCGTGCGCGAACGCGCGCGTGTATCCCCATCGCATAACTCTGCAACATTAAACCGCTCGCCGTAGGTCACCGTAGATTACGCATAAATTCCGAGAGATGCGATTTACGACGTTAACTGGCATCCCGGTCTCCCTGCTCGCCACCTCCTTTCCAGATTTTCTTGCCGTCATCTGCGAGCGAGCGGCCCCGTCGCCGTTGCTGTCGCCGCCGATAGGCAAAGAAAATCGGTCACGAGCGAACCGAGTTTCTTCCTCGTCTTCTCACTTTTCTGAGTCTTTGCCTTCTTACCACAACTGTGGGGAAGAATGACTTTTGATTGAATATTCATAAAAAGGAAGTAGAATTCATTGCTTTCTTAATCTTTATCTCGCACGATGAATTGAAAAATGCCAATTACTAAAAATAATGATATGTGAGCAATTAAATTTCCTGAATTTTTAATATGCGATTTTTCAAAAAGATGAAGACATCATATAATTACATGCTCCTGTTAAATTCATTATTATTTTTTATATTTGACAAAGTACGGGTATCAATTGAATTTATAATAAATATATTAATAAAGTAATAAATTAAATTTTTATATTATTTTATATTATTGATAACAAATAGTAGAAACAATTTACATATATGGCTAATTATTCTATTTTTAAATCATTCGAATTATTAAAATAGACAGAATAGATCGCTACAGGAAAGTATTAATTTTTAATTTCTCTCCGATAAAATTTATAGTATTTTCAATTATATTATAACTTGAAAAAAATTAATAATTATTTCATTTGCAAATGGAGAAACATTTAAACTTGGGAATTATTCTAATTGATATCATAAACACATTAAATTATATTCATATCGTATTGAATTAGTTGAGGGAATAATGGAACGGGAACAAAGTAGTAAGCTATATCGATGTAATGCAAGAAATAAGAAATCAAAAGAATCCCGGTGCTGTATGGCATTACAGTAAGATCTGTAATGCGCAAAGCCGCAAAATAAACGAATGTGATTGGTATCGAAACTTCTGTCATATCGGGATCACGATAGTTATTCGTCGATACACGCGTAATGATCAAACATACCGAGGAAGAGAGGTGATCCGCGATAGAGAGGCAAGCCAAGTTGGAAATACCTGCGATGAGAAAAGCGAAAGCAACGCGCGAGAGAAGAGGGAGAGGACGCGCCGCAAGAAACATCCACCTTGAATATCGCCGACGGAGGACGGGATGTGGTTTGACCAGGAATGCGCATTTGGAGAAGATCGCACTACCTTGCGTTAAAAGAAATCCGTTATGATTTTTATACCTGCCATCCGTTCGTCCCGATTTTCCTCCGTTCAAGTGCGCTAAAATATACAAAACATTGAGGATATCGAGATAAAGAAAAGATAACGTCTCTAAGAACGATTAGTCACATTAGTGACATTTCCTGAAACGATTAATTAGAATTAACTAGATTCTAAAGCAGTTTATGATTAATATTCATGTATGAATATTATAAATTGGAATGTGAAATAATAAATAATAAATGACTAGGAAGTTAAATTTAATTGATTGACAAATAATTTAATTATTTAACTATTAATTGAATAATTTTTGAAATTTTTCCCTAATTGGAAAATTCAAATATTTTTATAATGTAACTATAGATTTTACGTATAGCGTGATTTCCGTTTTTCGTCCAGGAATTTTTGTCATTCCTCGTAGATTATATAAGTTTTATTTACGAAACTTGTTTCCTCTTCTAGGAATCTGTTTCGTCGCATAATTTTCGCATAACAAGATTTTATATCTAGATTATTATGTAACACCTCTGTTATGCAAACATTCAACAGGATGTAAAATCTATTTCTAATAGTTTTGTGAAAGATTTATGATTTTATTCTTACTTAAACTTATAGTACTTTTATTTTTTTCTTATCAAATTATTAAAAGATAAAAATTTTAAATAGAATAAAAGTTTGAAACATTAAATTTTGTCAACTTTATTTTTAATATTTAAATTTATCTTTTTAAATTTTACAAAATACACATTTATTTAATATTAGTAAAAATACATATAAAATTTAAAATATGTTCATTGATAAATCTAATTCATAAAATTAAATATTCAATTTTATGAAAACATTTATATTTCTATTTTATTGATATTTAAAAATGAAAAAAAAGAAAATTGCTTGTTTTTTTGCGGTCTTCCTTCGAGATTAAAATTTTTTTTTATGATTATCTTTTTTTATTTTGATGTGATGGCCAATATTCTATACTTTGAGATATGAGAAACAGGTTGTGAAAAGAGATTGGGCATATTCGATATTCGATGTAAGATATCGAATATGCTTTCGCTCTCGATCATCGTGGATCATTAATAATCAACAATACGCCACGTGAAGAGAAAAGGATGTATTCTCGCTTTTCTTTTTGCTCTCGCGAGTATTTATTTTTTTTTTTTTTAGAATGTATGGCGTATAACTGCATTTACGATCAGAGGTCTCGATAATACAATTTCCCCTGATTATCAATGAATTTGGGAAAATTCTGATATGATTTGATAATTTAATTAATATAAAAAAAATTAACTTAACTTTTTAAGTTTTAAATTTTTAAAAATTAATATCGCACTTTTTTCAAAGAATCTTTTCAGTTGAATGTGCTTATGCAAATTTCTGTACATAGATTTTTGTTTTTTAAAAATATGTTTGATATTTTTTATTTAATCTAGAAATATTTATCGAAACGTGTGAATAAAAGATTAATTACATATTTTTGTCACATTTTTTTATTTTATCAAGTTAAAAAAATAAACAGATTAGAAAAAACGACTGCGAATTAAATTATATACTTTTTCATGTTCCAATGTCAATTCATTTATTTGAATTATCATCGGAACATCCATGGATGGGTGATGTTTTCCCTTCAGTGCGGTCAACGAGATTCGTGCTCGCGCTTTCATTTCGCCTTCGGTAATAATTATAATTGATGAAATGACACCGCAAGCCGGACAACGGGGACTTTATCGAGCGCTCGCGATCGCCTTGGGAGATACGAAAGAACGCATGCAAAATAC